CTTAAAGTCCTCCCTTTCAGCAAGCAGGCTTATGTTGTCTGTATACTGCAGAATGTTACTAAACCTTCCTCCATTCTTGAGGCCACACTCTTCTTCACATCATCCAGCTTCTCTGAGGATTTGCTCAGCACACAGATTGGATGAGTATGGTGAAAGGATGCAGTCCTGATGCACACCTTTCCTGATTTTACAGTATTCCCTTGTTCTGTTTGCACAACTGCTTCTGGATCCATGTACAAGTTCTATCTGAGCACAACGATGTGCTCATGACACAAGAAGAATTCCCATTCTTCTCAAAGCTATCCACAGTTAACAGCCACAGTTAGCCTTAGCCTTGGCATAATAGAAGTAAACATGTTTCTGGAATTCTCTGCTTTGAGCCAAGAAATAAAACTATAATGCTCCTTGGAAGTAAGGATGGTGAAAGTTCTCGCTCGCTTTGGATCCATCATCAGGAAAGATCAAGCCTTAAAGGACTTCATGTTAGCTAGGATGGGGGGTCATAGAAAGCAAGGGAAGCCTTCAATGAGATGAACTGATCAAATAGTCACCAGAATGGGCTCAAATATCTAAAACCTTGTGAAGCTGGCACACGGCTAGACAATGCTTTGTTCTGTTACACACAACATTTCCCGGGTGAGCAGGTGACAAGATGGCAACTGACAGGAACCACCTTTATTTCGTAAGAATGAAAATGTTTTTAATAGACAATGCTTCAATTATATGAGAAAGCACAACACAAGGGTAAAAATCAAATCCATACCCAACACTTTCATCAAGACAGTACTATTAATTTCAATCTTTCTGCTACTTCAAACTGCAAAGTTTCAACCACAGTATGTGTAATTATCTTTTTCAATGATTGTATCTTATTGTATGAAATCGAGAAAGGATAGTATTAGGGATCATGTCTTTTAATGACAACATGCACAACAACCCATTTTGTGACATTTTGCTGTTGTCATGGAGCTGGGCCTGACTCATAGTGACTTTATGCTCAACAGAATGACACGCGGGCTGGTTCTTTTTCCTAGTCTGTCATAATCTGGAAGATCTGCTGAAACCTGTCAACCCTAGATGACCCTCTTGGTAGTTTAAACTGCTCCCAGTGTTAGAGAACATGCACACCTTCACAGAAGGACAAACTGACAGCTGGGTGGTAGAGAAAAATGAATAGGCTCCCTTAAGAGGGTCATACAGTGTTGGTGATGTAGTGGTTATGCACTGGACTGTTAACTGCAGGGTCAGCAGTTAAAAATGACATTGGCTGCATGGGAGAAAGATGATGCTTCTACTCCAGTCAAGAGTTACAGTATTCGGTCTCTACTCAAGTAGTCCCTTCATGCAAGAACATTTTGTTCTAACAACCCTGCATTCTGTGATGCTCACCTTCCCAACTGAAGACAAATGGGTGCATAAGCAAATGTGGTGAAGAAAGCTGATGGTGCCCGGCTATCAAAAGATATTAAGACTAGGGTCTTAAAGGCTTGAAGGTAAACAAGTGGCCATTTAGCAGGAAAACAACAAAGCCCGCATAGAAGAAGCACACCAGTCTGTGTGATCATGAGATGTCGATGGGAGAAGGTATAAGGCATCAGAAGACCCCAACCAACCAAATATATTGATTTAAATGATGGGGGTGGAGTGGAGACCCAAAGCCCAGTTGTAGACAACTGGACATTCCCTTACAGAAGGGTCACAAGCAAAGAGCGAGACAGCCAGGTTGCAGCACAGCACTGATAGAACACACAACACTTCTCTAGTTCTTTAATGCTTCCTCCCCCACCCCCCCAAGATCATGACCCCAGTTCTGCCTTACAAATCAGGCTAGACTGGAGCATGTACACTGGTACAGATAGGCGCTCTGGACACATGGAATCCAGGACATATAAACCCCTCACGAACAGCAATGGGAGTATCAATACCATGAGGGTAGGGGAAAGGTGGGGGGAGAAATGGGGAACCAACTACAATGATGCACAATCCGCCCCTCCCCAGGAGGATGAACAATAATGTGGATGAAGGGAGACAGCAGTCAGTGTAAGATATGAAAATGATAATAATTTGTAGTTTATCAGGGGTCCATGAAGGTGTCTGTCCTCCAGGGAGGAGGTTATATGTAGATCCTTGTAATCAGCTCCCCCTTTCGATTCCACCATCCCGGTATCGCCACTCTCAGCACTAGTCCTGAAGGGATTATCCATTCTGGATTCCCTGTTTCCAGTTCCTATTGTACCAGTGTACATCCTCTGGTCTAGCCATATTTGTAAGGAAGAATTGGGATCATGATAGTGGGGGAGGAGAAAGCATTTAGGGACTAGAGAAAAGTTGTATGTTTCATTGCTGCTACACTGCACCCTGACTGACTTGTCTCCTCCCCTCGACCCTTCCGTAAGGGGATGTCCAGTTTCCTACAGATGGGCTTTGGGTCCCCACTTTGCACTCCCCCTCATTCACAATGATATGATTTTTTGTTCTTTGATGCCTGATACCTCATCCCTTTGACACCTCATGATCACACAGCCTGGTGTGCTTTCATGTGGGCTTTGTTGCTTCTCAACTAGATGGCCACTTGTTTACCTTCAAGCCTTTAAGATGCCAGATGCTACATCCCTTCTGAGTTCTAAGAACAGACAAGAAAACATGCCCTTCCACCCTGTGCTCTCAAACCGCTGACCTTGCTGTTAGCAGCCCGACGGGTAACTACGCCACCACCAGGGCTCCATCAAGGGTTCACAGAGGTTGCCGTTAGGGGCTGTCAACTCCATTCTGACCCAGAGCGATCCCGGGGCACAACGGAACACAGCACTGCCTGTTCCTGGGCCATTCTCAACAATTGTCCTCACAGTTGAGGTCAGTTTTGCTAATGTCCACAAGGCTTTCTGTGGCTAATTTCTCCAAAGTGGACAGCCTATTCCTTCTCCATCGTCTGGAGAAGGGCGTCACGCTTGGTAAAGGCAAGGGACAGTGAAAAAGAGGAAGGCCCTCCAGGAGATGGACTGGCTGCACCGTGGCTGTACCAATGGGCTCAATACAGGACCACTGTGAGGATGGCGGAGGGCTGGGCACAGTGCTTCCCTCTGTTGTGCACGGCGTGGCTATGGGCTGGAAGCGACCCCATCTGGTCTTTGTCTGGAGCTCTGCTTCATTTCGGGGAAGGCTGGCATTTGAAGGGCCCATGACACAGCTTCTTTGTGGGCCTTGCAGGCTGGGTGGGGGGGAGGCTCGTTTTTTTGAGCTTTGATGGTGCTGGAGGGTGGAAAGCTGGGGTGGGGACTGGGAACCTGAGTTGATCTGGTTCAGGCCGCTGCCCCCCAGACCTATTTGTGTGAACCCCTGAAGGAAGAGTCCAAAGGTATTCCTTGATTGCGTTGCCAAGATCAATGTGTAGGCTCAAGAAGGGAGTATCTGGACTGTTGGTTTTTTTTAATTGAAAGTGTTATTGACATATAATTCACATCCCATATCTGGACTGCTTTTAAAGACAGGAAGAACCATTATCTCGGGAGAGGGCCACGGCAAGAAAAGGAGAGCTCCCGTTTCTTCTTTTAGAAATGCAGGTTTTCTCAATATCCAACTCGGGGTGTCTAAAGGGCACTCGTCCTACATTCTGGAACAAGTGGATGAGTCTGTTCATAAGCCATCCGGTAAGCAGCTTGGGCAAGAGCTTGCCGTCACACACAGCAGTCCCGGGCCGGAGAAGCGAGCAAGGTGGGAACCATTCTATTTTCATCCACCCGCTGCACGCGGCCTTTCACTGCTGGGCTCTGGCCTTGCTCCGTGGAGTCTTGTCTTCTACCTGTCCCTTCGGGTGGCCCTGAAGGTCCCGTCCAGAGTGGAAGAGCTTTCTTTTCCAATGGCTGCCTTTGATTTCTAGGCTTCAGTCAGCGAAGGGGTCCCTGACTTTTAATTCTTCCGAAACAAATTCCACACCGGGGGATTGAAAGGAACGAAAGACTTTACGAGAGAGAAAACAAATTCAACTCCTCCCAGAAAGGAGGTAAGATGCAGAGAAGTCTACAGGTAGAAATCTCCAGGTAGCTCTTGGACGACAAACCGGCCTTCATTGCACTTTTCAGATAAGACCGAACAGTGAGGTACTGTTCTTATCCAGTGCCCAGCATGTTTCTGTTACACAGAAGCATTTCCCAGAGTGGGCCATACTGCTCCCGGGGGGCCATACTGCGCTGGAATACGGGGTTGGGGAGGCTGCAAAAGCAGATACATACACTTTATTCTGGCTTGGGGACAGTAGGACACGTGCTTTTAACTGCCAGGGGGCCAGTGAGCAATTTTTTTTTTTTTCTGCAAAAGCGGCAGTAGGCCGAGTAAGCCTGGGACCCTGTGCCTACAGTATGAGGGCACTGTTGTAGGCATACGAACCACGAAGGAGATCCTTCCAGATACATGGAACCATCTTTAACATCACAAGGCTCTCACGGTCAGGTTTTGACGTGTGCTGCTACATGGCGCCCACTTTAACGCACTAGGCTTTCCAGGGGCGGCTTCCTAACTACAGGTGATACAGAACAGGACGTCCGTAACCGGGAAACTGCCCGCATTTCAAAAGTCATGCAAAGGTCTACAAAGCAGTCTGTCGTCCTGTCCGTTGGGACACACTTTCCCAAGCCACCTTTTGAACTGCTGACCAGGCCAGGACAAAGGATTCTAGGGAAACGTGGAGGTGGGGGCTGGGAGGCAGGGAGAGGAATAATTTGGACTTTCCCACAGTAAACACATCGATCACACTGTAATTTATATGATGTCTTATAAACTTTATTAAATAATGGGCATGACTAATTTTCATGATCTTATATACAGTCTTTAAACTATGTTTTCCTAGATGCATTTTTTTTCCAGAGTAGGTGAAAGTGTACTAAAAAAAAGAAAGAAAACCGAGTACAGGGACCTAATAAGAATCTGACATATATTTAAGTATACATAACTTCCCCTGCCCAATTATATACACCCCAACCCATTTCCAAAAACAACCCCCCCCCCATTTTAAACAAAACCGTAACTTTGAGGAAAAATACGAATGTAATTATGTAGGTACACACAGCTCCAAACCCTGCATCCTGGCTGAACGAAGTTACTGGTGATTGATTAGCAGACAGGTCTGTTCCGGGACAGTCTGACGTCCACTGTGATCAGGGAGCGCACTCCCAGGGCACAGCCGAGCAGCCACGGTTGAGGAGAGAACACCACTTCTGAGATGAGGACAGAGCAGTGATGTGGAGAGCACAGAACCTGGGTCCCGTAAAGTAAAAACTAATGTAGAAAAGTGCATTCCTAGGGCAAGGAGGTTTCGGTGAATTTTATTTTATTTTTTAAGTTAATGCAAAAGCATTTACAATTACCTCTCAGAATGCTAAAGACATACCCCTCCCATTCCAGATATGAATCTTAAAAAAACTTGCATGATATTGAAAGGAAGGAAATGAAAAGCAGGGATGTTTCTAGAAGAACCATGCGATCTACCCAGTACTGGTTTTGGTCTTTAAACTACTAGAAGAAAGAATCGTTTGGAGAAGAAATTGGGGCCATATTTTGGTTATTGGGAAAAAAAAAAAAGAATTCCTTAGGTACCTACTTGTGAGGATGGCCATGTATTATGTTAAGAACAAGAGGAAGATGATTTAAAAGGGGAGGAAGCTTTGGTAAGAGGTCACTGATGTAAATCACTGTTTACAGGTCAACAAAAAGGCAGCTCCCGACCCCTCACATGGACTTCTCTTAAGACGGAGAGGGGCGAGAGGGGCCAGGAGATGTAAAACTGCCCGAAGACAAAAGACAAAGACAGGAACGTTCTTGCCGCAATAAGTGGCCTCATCAATAAAACAGGATCTTTTAGAAAGCAGCCATAATTCTTTTTTTTTTATCCTTTAATGCCTTTGCTTTTTAATTTAATTTTTTTAAACTTGCCTTTGTTTCTCTGCTCCTTTCCTCAGGAGAGAGTCCCAACACTCAAAGATGCTGCCGTTCATTAAAACGTAGTAACCAAAAAAAACCCCCCCAAAAACCAAAACAAACAAACAAAAAAAACCGTAGTAACCAAAGACGAGCCTGCCCTTGTCTCTGTCTCAAAACACTGGAAAAGGCTCCCCCAGGCTGTGTCCTGTACAGCAAACAAAACTCTTGCCACCTCCCTGCAGTCAGTGATTCCTCAGAACAGGAATGAGGCCCTGTGGGCTGGATGCAGGACTCATGCCAGGCCTTCGGAAAACCAGCGGCCGCGGAGAACGTTGGCCTGTTTTAGCTCCTGGCTCCCTTTGCGTGGGTTGGTGTGTTAAATCTTCCTTAACTGTCACAGGAGGAGAAACTACACCCTGTCCCAGGTGTCTCCCCACCTTTTCTCCTAACTCGCTCAATCTGCCCTACAGTCATCAGGATGATTAACTTACTTATTTTTTAGGCTACGGGTTGGAATGCATTCCTTTCACCCCAGAAATCATCAAACAAACAACAGGAGCAGCACATTATCCAGGCCTTGTCCAGCAACAGGTGAGGCTCCTTGAGTCGAGCAAACTGGTCCTGCTGCATCCCCATCTTCATCAGTCACGTGGGTTCTGCAGCATGAAGAAGGGAGGTAGGGCACCGCCACGGAGATCCTGAAACGGGCATGTCCAGGTGGAGCACTCGGGCTGACAGTGTCCTAGGATCTTCCCCGGAACATACCGGAGATGCCAGACGAGGCAGGGTTCTTAATCCAACTTTAGTTTCCTTCCCTGGGAACCCAATGGAACAAGCCTCCTTGCTCTCTCTGAGTCTAAGGATAAAGCCACTCCTGGCTTCCAGAGGCGACACAGGGGATGAAGGTGTTTTCTAACATCTGGACCTTGTGGTCAGGCTAGGGAAGGGGAAACAAAGAGGACCATGGCTGGCACATGAAACTAACAAACAAAAAGCCTCAGCACAGTCAGGCAAGCTTGCCTTACATGAAGCCGGCAGGCAGGCACCCAGTATCGAAGGCAGCAGATTCTTGGATGTCAACACCTGGTACGGGGCCATCCTGGCTGCAGCTGCCAGTCACAATGTCGTGCTGTGGAGGGGAGTGCCGTACACGTCCGGGTCAGTCGGTCGGTCGGTCGGTCGGGTGTTAAAAAACTGCTTTCACCTGGTACATGTAAACCCCCTTCATCTGTGTCTGGACTTTACGGGCCCAGGAAAAGGTCAATTCAGGCAGCTGCTTAGCAAGCAGGTCAGGCAAAGCTGCTTGAACTGAGACACTGAAACTTTTCCCGCAGCGACTGCACGATATTTTGTTGGTTGGGAGATGGTCCCCTCCAGACATAGCCATCCAGCTTGTCAGACTCACTGCAGGCTGTCAGGTAGGGCGGCAGGCCGAACGGGCTGTGGACCGTCTTTTTGGGGGTACACGGGCTGCTTAAGGAGTGGGGGGCGTGACTGCCGAGGTCATTTCCACCGGACGTAGCTTCCATGGCTATCTGCGGGTCCGACTGCCTTCTCCGACCCCAAACGAGCTCCACCTCAGCCTCCTCTTCTTCGGACTTGATCTCCACGTAGTCATCTTCATCTCCTTCCGTCTCCTTGAAGTTGGAAAAGTAGTGCTGGGTAGCGAGGTGGGCACTCAAGGGGAGATTCCTATTCACGACCAGAACTTTCTGCGAGTCTTGGAGCGTGAGCTCCGGGCGTTTCCCGGGGTCGGCACTACCCAGAGGCAGATCTGGCAGCGGCTGCCTCCCCGGCTCATCTGTATAGCTGATGGAGTCCGCCGACTGGCTGATCAGGATGGAGGAGGAGGACTGAGACCTGTGGTAAGGCTGGGGTGATGCGCCACTTCCTTTGCGGCCCAGGGAGCTGTAACCGGGGCCCTGACCGGCCTTCTCCTTGGCGGGCTGGCTCGCAATCACACCACGTCTCTGGTGGGAGTCCGGCAGAGGGTCCGTGGTTTGGAGAGAAGGCACGGAGCAGGCAGTGGACAGCTGTCTTGGGGCACTCTTGGAACGGGTGTCGACAGTGGAATATTTGAACTTGGAGTTGTGCCCTGGCTGGGGCCAGAAGTCTGCTAATTCTCCATTACTATAGGTGGAGTGCAAAAGCCAGTCTTCAGGGCCGAGTGGAGCCTGGCAAGGGGGGGTTGATCGGAGGCTGGGGGAGGCTTGCTGGCCGGCCCAGCCATCCTTCTGGGCCTTCGGGGGGGAGTCTCTGAACACAATCTGATCGTACAGTTGGGAATACTCAGCAATCCTGGCACCTGGAAGGCAAATAGGGAAGCATATAAATATCGACAGAGGATTGTTCCTGCTCGCAAAGATGAAAAAAGAACAACATAACATTCAAATCAACACATTAACAAAAACACACAAAAAAAACCTTAAACGGCAGACAGGCCCTTTCTCTGAGAATGAGTCAGCACTGAATACCAAGTACCACACAGGAGAACGACCCACCCAGTTTAAAAGCAACGAAACTGTTACCCATAATAAGCCCTCTTCCTTTGAACTGATTCCAGCTCCTTTAATCTTGGCAATGTTTGCAAGTGTCTGGGATGGGGTCACAAACATTTCCACTGTTCTTTGAAGCAGGGGCGGTGGCGTCCATGCTGTAACCAGGCCTGGCTAGAAGCCCTAGCCAGCGAGAAGGGCCACCAGCAGTCACCGAGAGAAGCCAGAGCACAGCCCACAGCGCCAAGGCCATGCCCTGACCCCTCGTCAGAGGAGGCTGTTCCTGGCGGCTGCCCCGGCCCACCCTGCCTGGTTCCAGACAACCCTCCACGGCCACCAGCCACCGGCCACCGCCAGGGCACCCAATGTCCACAGCACATCCTCCCTGGCAGTACTTTAAAACCACACGTAGTGGCCGGTCCACTTCGCCTTCCCCAACACCAAGGCATGGGCACTAAGCCGGGGCCTCCAGGGCATGAGGATCACGTCAGCTGAGCATCTAGCGCAGAAGCCACTGTTCCGTGGTCTCATTCCAGGAGAGTGCTCGGCAGCCGCTTCCAGAAAGCTGCTGCTATTGAACACGAAGCAGTAAGGCCATTCTCCCTCTGGCCCACTTCCGAGGGCAGAGGTTTCTAAAGGCATTGGCTAAACCGTGCTATGGGCAGAATTGGGGTTCTCTTGGGCCGGCACAGGAGCCGGAAGATGGCAATTTTAAGAGCTGCTTCTTGTTTCCCCCTTCCCACGAAAGGACCCTCTGGGCCAGCATACATCCCACGAGCACACGAGCCACGCCTGTCGGATCCGGGCTGGGCTTGCACCACACAGCAAACACCGGTGGTATGACGTTTTCTCCCTCAGTAAGCTATTTCTACTCTCAGTGACCTGTCGTTAGTACCGCATCTACTCGTGTATAAGCCGAGCTTTTCAGCACATTGTTAATGCCGTTTTTGTGGTAAAATTAGGTGCCTCAGCTGATATTTGGGTGGGCTTATATTCAAGTATAGATGGTAAATTATTCAAAACACTTAAATTAAATCCTCAGTGAGGTTCTCCTATTTTACTCATTTTTCAAGTGTCTTCCACGAGGACAGAAAACCTACTTCTCGATCGGTTTCCTGTTCAGAAGCTTTGGGTTTTCAAATCCCAAGTCGTGGGAAGGGCCAAACGCACCGCCATGGAGCCCACTCCACTCCTAACCGGCACCCTGCAAACCCAAACCAAACGCATTGCCTTTGAGCCGATGGCGACTCACTGCAACCCTACAGCACAGGATCGAACTGTCCCTATACATTCCCGAGACTGCAAATCCTTATGGTAGTCGGACACCTCCTCTTCCTCCCTTGGAGTGACTGCTGGTTTGGGACTGCTGTCTGGGCAGTCAGAAGCCCAAAGCTGCTAGCATTAAGAATCCACTGTGCCACCGGGGCTCCCGGGGACATATATCAAACATACATAAAACTCACTGCCATGAAGTTGATGCCGACTCATAGCGACCCTACAGGGCAGGCTAGAACTGCCCCTGGGAAACTCTTTACAGGAATAGAAAGGCTGTCTTTCTCCAAGAGTGGCTGGTGGTTTCGAACTGCTAACCTCAGCAGCCCGACTCCTAACCACAATGCCACCAGAACTCTAGGATGCCTATAGGCCAATTCAACATTTCAAGTAACAAAAATTGGAAGGCTATTTTTTAAAGGCCATAGTAAATGCTCTTAGTACTAACTTAGATTTAGCCATACACTTGAGTGATCTTGAAGGCTCTGTACCTCCAATTCCCAAATCCGCTGCTGTCAGAGAGCGTCCAGCTCACAGCACACCTCCAGGACCGAGTAGAAGTGTCCCGGAGTTTCCAAAGCCGCCATCCTTACAGAAGCAGACTGCCCCATCCTTCTCCTGCTGAGCAGCTACAGCATGGTTCTCAACCTTCCTAATGCCACGACCCTTTAATACACAGTTCCTCATGTTGTGTTGACCCCCCCAACCATAAAATTATTTTTGTTGCTACTTTATCTCTGTCATTTTGCTACTGCTTTGAATCAGGCGACCCCTGTGAAAGGGTCGTTTGACCCCCCAAAGGGGTTGCGACCCAGAGGTTGAGAACCACTGAGCTAGAGGGTTCAAACCATTGACCTTTCTTTTAACAGATAAGCATTTGATAACCAAGCCTTCAGGGATCCTTTGTTCCCATCTTAACAACCCCCAAACCGAGCATACTGTCACGGAGTTGATTCTGACCCATAGCAACCTTGTAGGACAGAGCAGCCCTGCCCCGCTGGGCTTATATGCTGTAAATCTCCAGCATATAAGCCAGGAAGCAGGGAAGCCTGGAAGCAGGCCTTCAGGCTTAACTCCGTGCCTGCGTGAGCCACATGTCTCATCAACTAGGAAGCCTAACCGAAGGCCTTTTAACATGGGCACTGGCTGGCATGGCAGTCTGATCAGTTGGTGCTGCCAAACTCTTCATCTGCCGAACACTAAGACCTGAGCCTGGTGGCACCGCTGAGTCACGAAACCGCTGAGTCACGAAGACTCTGAACTTCCACTAGGCCCCAAGATGGTGATTATTTCGAGTAAAAAAAAAAAAAAATCAGCTGAATTATTCTAGTAACAGACCGTAACTATAAGGTCTTGTAAGAACCACCGACTCTTGACTTCAAAGCACAGACGCGTGTATCAATCTAAAATACCCTCAGAATTTCTCATGCCTTTGTCTTCCTTAAGGAGCCAGGTGGTGTAGTGGGGTGGTACCTGCAAGGTCAACAGTTCAAACCCACCAACTGCTCAGTAGGAGAAAGATGAGGCTTTCTTCTCCCATAAAAGTTCTACCCTTGGAAAGCACTGGAAGCCCTACAGGGTCTCTATGAGCCGAAATCAACTTGAGGGCAATGGGTTGATGGTTTTCTTCCTTTTATGCACTCCCCTCCCTTTGCTCAATCAAAATCCATTCAACTCACAAGACCTGCTTTAAGCCCAAGGAACCCTGGTGGCCTGGTGGGCTACTGGTTGGCCTGAGAAGTGCAAGGTCAGTAGTTCAAGTCCACCAGCTGTTCTGGAGGAGAAAAGTCAGGCTTTCTGCTCCCATAAAGATTTATAGTCTTGGAAACACACAGGGACAATTCTACTTTGTCCTACAGGGTCACTACAGTCAAACTGACTTGATGGCAGGGAGTTTAGCTTTAAGCCCTATCCTTCCCAGGAATCCTTTAATTGATTTCTCTCATCTTATATACTTAGTGTGTGACACATACTTAGCTATTGGTTGAACACACACACACACACACACACACACACACACACACACACACACACACTCTTTTTCTCTCTTGCTAGTGGTTTTATATGGGCTAGTTCATTAATGTTCCTGGAAGAAACCCAGCCAGAGTGCTCGTTAGAAGGATGGTGAAACTTTGTCTCACATACTTTGGGCATGTTATCAGGAGAGTCCAGGCCCTGGAGAAGGACATCATTCTCAGTAGAGGGATCGGCTGAAGAGAGAAAGCCCCTTGACAGGACGGACTAACGCTGTCGCTGCATCAATGGCTCCACCGAGCATCCCACTGTGGGAGGGGCCAGGCCCGGGCCATGCTTCCCTCCACTGTGCACAGGGTTCCTGATGAGTCAGAACCGTCTCAATGGCACCAAACCACAGGAGTTGATTATTCTAGTGGGTCTGTGAGCTTCTGATCTTGAAGAACAACATCGTACATTTTGCTCAAGCCCCTACAGAACATGGCACATATTTCTAGTCTGCAGGGGTCTTAATGGCTACTTCATGACTCAGATGGTTTTCTGACAGCCGGCCTCGTAGTTTAAGCAGAGTGTTAAAAAAAGGGATGTGTTTCCCCAGAGGCCAGAGCACCGGGGTGGGCAGGCGGTCAGGGGAGCAGGCACGGCAGGAAAGGCAGCAGCCGTGGCTCCGGAGACAACTCACGCCGTGGTTGGCTGTGGAGTCGGTTCTCTGAGTCAGAGCAGAACCGTGCTCCACAGTGGTTCCAAAGCCACTGCCTCTCAGAAACTGACTGCCAGGCCTTTCTTCAGAGGCACCGCTGGTGGGTTTGAACTGCCAACCTTTCAGCTAGCGGTCGAGTGTTTCACCAGGGTCAGCCATGGATCGCGCCTAACAGGCGCAGCTTATCTTTGGGTAACAGAGTTGCCCATCAACAACTCTGACCAGAAAATGACACATGATGTCAACTCACTATGCCTTGCAAGTGTTTCTGTGTGTCAGCTTGATGTTGTAAGAAAGCCGAAAACTGGACGCCAATATGAATGAAAGCCAGCAACCCACCACCCACTGCCATCGAGTCATTTCCTACAGGGGAGAGGAGAATGGCACCTTCAGGTTTCCTAGACTCTGAAACTTTCTGGGAGCTGACAGCCTCATCTTTCTGCCAATCAGCGGCTGGTGGTCTTGAACTGGTGCCAAAGCTGCACACTTAACCCACTGTGCCAGCAGGGCTCCTTGAGAGGTAGCGACATCTATCACTAAAGAGGATTCCCTTAGACGTACAGGGAACAGCTAGCCAGCCGTGACACCTCCGGCTGACAGCTGGCCACGGTCCCCCCTGGTCCTTAGTGCCGGTACTAGCAGGCTCCACAGAACACGACGTTAGCATGATGCGATAGGTTTAAAGGGTAGAAGGATTCTCAGGACTGCAGGTAAAAACTGGGATCAATCCTTACTCAGGGGCGTATGAAGCATGGGGCTCTCAGGCAGAGATTAACCCCCTCATTTCTAAGGTTTGTGGGAGAGAGAGCCAAAGCACAGGACAGTCACTTGGCCTCTGGTATTTCATGGGGAGGGTTGCTTTCTCATGTCGCTGTGGAATTTCCCCCGCGTGTGCACAGAGCACCAGAGAATGGGTCCCCAGAGGCATTCAGGGCTGCAGAGGACAGGCCGGCCAGCATGCTACCCCAGGCTCCCCAGTGGGGGTGCGACTAGACCTGGTTGGGTGCTTTCTAGGCGGGTATGTGCCTTGGGGGCGCGAGGACCCGGCTAGAGCGTTCAACAGAGGTGCTCGGCAGGTGAATAGGGCGCTCCTCCTTCTGCACAACACCGAGAGCAAGCTCCGGGCAAAGTGGCAAGGCCCACACGAAGCAGTCTGGAGAACCGGTCCATTCGGTTACGACGTCCTGCGCCCAGATAAAGGAGAGAGAGAAAAGGGGCATCGCGTCAACTGGTTGCAAGCCAAGTGGGCACCGGAAGTGGTCTCGGGCCACCCAGATGTGGGGGGCACCAGTGCGGAGAGGGCACTCCTGCCACACCGCAGGGAGGACATTGCTATTGGAAGATGGGCGGGGCCAGCTCTGCCCTCTGCCCACGGGGTCCAGGAGGACCCCCACACAAAGCTAAGATCCCGTGGGATCCCAGACACCAAAAGGGAAAATGAAAAGGACCAGAACATGTACATGGGTACAGATAAGAGCTGGAAGCCCAGGGAATCCAGGACTGATAAACCCTGCAGGGCTGATACTGAGAGTAGCCATACCAGGAGGGAAGGGGAAGGTGGGAGGAGAAAAGAGAAACGGATCACAATGATCTACCTGTAACCCTTTCCCAGGGGGATGGACAACAGAAAAGTGGGTGAAGGGAGACATCGATCAGTGTAAGACATGACAAAATAATAATAATAATTTATAAACTATCAAGGGTTCATGAGGTGGGAGGGTGGAGGAGGAATGGGAAAAAAATGAGAAGCTGAGACCAAGGGCTCAAGTAGAAAGAAAATGTTTTGAAAATGATGATGGCAACAAATGTACAAATGTGCTTGATACAATGGATAGATGGATGGATTGTGATAAGAGTTGTGCGAGCTCCCAATAAAATGACTTAAAAACATTAAAAAAAAAAACCCCATAAAAAAAAAAGCCCCGGTGGAAATCTGTTAATCCTGAAGGAGAAAAAACGACCGTGCAAGGGGGGTGGGAGGCCTCTGGAGTCAGTCTAGAAAGGACCCACTTCCATGGAGGCTACGTTTCTAGCTTTTGAAATGGCCTGTCCATTTTCAAAACAACCAGGCGGCCCAGGCAATTCACCCCACCCCACCGCCATGCAGGGACTGCGGACTCACACTCAAACCTCAAACTCACTGCCATCGAGTCCGTTCTGACTCAGGGGACCTATCTGACCAATGAGAATGGCCCCAGGGGGGTATGAGGAGGTAAATCTTTCTGGGAACAGAAAACCTCATCTTTCTCTCATGGAGCAGCTGCTGAATTCAAACTGCTGACCTTGTGGTTAGCAGTCCAACTTGTAACCCACTATGTCACCAGGGTTCCTTGCATTAGACCTACATACAGGGTTTCTGGGGCAATACATTTTTACAGGATCAGAACCCCCTTGGAGCAGCTGGTGGGTTTGAACCACTGACCTCACGGTTAGCAGTCCAACCCTTACCTGACAGCAGCACCCGGGCTCCTTGCTGTACAATGTTATATGATAATATTCTGCCAAGAATTCACTGTCACATCCTCTCCATTCTGTGAAGAGCTACCATGAATTCTGGGTCCAGCCCAGATACAGTCAGTAGTTTGTTGTGAATTTATTGATACTCAACTGCTTCCACTTGCCACCTATGTCTGAAAAATAGTCCAGCAGGGAACTTGGGGCAGTTTCTCAACCACTCAATAGCACCGGCTTTAGATAGCGGACGTCAATGGCTTCAAGCCCACCATACTACTGCAAGGAGTAAAACACAACGTGGCCAGTTCTCGCTCACATTCATACAGAAACACTTTAAACCTTTATTTTATTTAAACCCACACACACACACAATTCAAAGGCGAGTGTGAAATCCTTCACGTAGTCAATTCCGTGCCTACAGAGAAATGTAACTGTCTAATCGCCAAAGTCCAGGCGACCCACTTTGAGATAAGAACCTGCCATTACAAGTCCTGTGGGGCAGTTCGACTCCGGCCCACAGGGGAGGACACATCAGTGACGACCTGACAGTCACTCATCCGGTTCTTTGTTTTTTTCACTGTACGATTCTCGCTGAGCGCCGTGAAGTCAACATTGACTCACAGCGAGCCCTGTGGGTTTCTCAGAGTGTAACTGTGTACCGGGAGCAGAAAGCCCAGTCTTTGAACCGCCGACCATGCGGAGTGCAGCCCAATGAGTCACCACTATACCACCAGGGCTCCATCTATAATTAGCGCTACTTAAACCAAACTTACTGCCATCGAGTCAATTCTGACTTATATCGACCCTGTGGGACCGGGTAGAACTGCCCGTGTGGGTTGTCTGAGACTGTAACTCTACGAGAGTAGAAAGCCCCACCTTTCTCTTGTGAAGCAGTGGTGGTTTTGAACTGCTGACCTTGCGGTTAGCAGCCCATATGTAACCACCATGCCACCAGGGCTCCTCATAATTAGCTCTAATAAAGATCAAAAAGTTATTTTGGAAACATTCTCATACAAAGAGAAGTCAAACAAAAACCCAACTTCCAGATTTACTTAGAAGTTGACTGTCTCTTCTGCTACCTCCCCCAGCCCTCCCTGCTTTCCATGGAGATAAATAAATTCATCCCAAAGAAGGGCCACTCACTGCATCCACCTGGCCAAGCTTCGGTGCTGTGATCAAGATGCTGTATCCGCACCTGTTCCCAGACTGGCTTTATATTCAATTGGAGGATTAACTCCAGTCATTTGATATTAAGGTGGCCTTTGGCCAGAAAGCCGAGGGCTAGTTTTTAAAATTATGATATAACCCCACAATGTTTTCAAATGCACATTCCTGGGCCCAACCCCACAAACCTTTCTAGGCCTGGTAGCCAACAGCTCCCCGGGGAAGAATGGGCCCCCCCCCTTGGGGTGTCTTCTCTCCAGGGCAGCATGCCCCTCCCTTCACACATAGGCTCTCTCACTGGCGTCTCTGTCAATTTCTGTGCCCCAGAACCCTTTTGAAGGAAGGTAGACGCTCACCCAGAAACCAAACCCATTGTGTCCCTGTTCCAACGTATAGCAGCCACTGCTAGGGTTACTGAGCGCATGAGGCTCTGGGGGAGCAGACAGCCTCAACTTTCTCCCACGGGGTGGTCGGTGGGCGTGAACCATGGATCTGGAAGATTAGCAACCTACCGCTCAACCTAGATAGAGGAAAACACCACACCAGGAACGTCTCATTCCCTGAACGCTTGTCTTTTCCAGGGGCTCGTCTGAGTTCTCGGTATAGTTCTGCTTCGAGGGGAGGCCAGCCTCCAGCGTCGAGATGCACGTTCGGTAACAGCAAATTCAGTGGCCACGCAGGCAGATCAGATAGCAACCCAAATAAAAGTGAGAACACAACCAAGCGGGAGTCAGCGTCAGACTCCTTTGGGGTTTTGTCAGAAGGAGCTGGTGTGAGTAGGGTGTGGGGTGGGGTGGTGTTGTGTGGATGTGTGTGTGTTTGTTTCTTCTGGAGCATGGGGGTGGTGTGTGGTGTGTGCATGTGTGTGTTTATTCCAGAGCCAAGAGCCTAGACCCTAGCCCATCGCCTCCAAACCTTACACGCTTGCACGATCTACTCCTCCAACCAATGACCGAAACACGGGTGGAAACGGGCTGCTGTTTTCCAGCTTTCAGATGAACCTAAAGGAAACGCCCCCTTCTTAAAACATCATCCTGGAGCGGCAACGCTACACGCACAAGACCCTGCGAGGCCAGTGGGTGCGCGGACGCCGCCGCCCCACCTGCGCCTGATTCCCAGGGTGGGGCGAGCGGCTCTCGCGGTGACCGCCCATCACGGACGCAGACTGACAACGTGCTGGTGCAGGTGAGCACTTGCGAATCGGAAACCCACACTCCCACGTGACTCTCAAGAGAGCGGGCAGGCCCCTGGGCGAACATACATACCTATGGCAGCCCCGCCTTGCTTCTTCTCTTCCAGGATGGCGGCCAGGTCCCTGTGTACCGAGCTGTGTTGCAGACCGGCCGGCGGCGGCGGCGGCGGCGGCTCCAGCTCGGGGCTCCTGACTTTCAGCAGCTGGTTCGCCTTCTTGATCTTCTGGCTGTACTGCCTGGCCATCAGGAACACCCGGCTCTTGGTCTTGTCCGCGGCCTCGGCGGCTTCCGCGTCGGCCTGCGCCGGGTCGTCGGGACTCTCCGCGGGCGGCGGCGGGCCGGCCAGCGGCAGACGGCCGAGGCTCCCGAAGGAGCCCTCGGCGGCGGCGATCAGGCCTCCGTGCTGGACGGGCCCCGGGCAGGCCCGGCTCTCGGGGAGCGAGAGCGTGGACGTGGCGCGGGCGGCGCTCCGGCTCAGCGCGGGCGTGCTCCCCGCGAGCGGCCGGCCCGCCACGTCCTCCTTGCAGACGGGGAACGCGGCCAGCAGGCGCTCGCGCGTCTTGTCCTCGTTCTTCTTGATGTAGTTCTCCAGGTCGTTCCAGATGGCGTCCACCTCCTCCGACAGCTTGTCCGACGCGGGCGGCGCGGCGCCGCGGGGCCGGTCCAGCAGGCCCAGGTAGTCGTCCTCGGGGGCGGCCTGCGGGCCGCCGGGCGCCTCGTCCTCGCTGAACTGCAGGCTGTCCTGGGACACGAAGGGGGACCTCAGGCCGTCGCAGCGCGCGAAGTCGGCCTCCGGGCCCAGGAAGGTGCTCCTCCGGGGCCGCTGGAGGCTGCTGCACCTGAAGCCCAGCGCCGGCGCCCCGGGGAGCCGGATGGTGTCGTAGATGTTTTCTTCCCCCTCCTTGAGGTCGTGGGCGCTGAGGTTCGGCGCCCGTCTGCTCGCGTGCAGAGCGCCGCCATCCCGGCCGGCGAGCCTCTGGGACGAGGTGAGCTCCAGGGTGCTTTGGGGGCGAACGGCGTCCTTGGTGGGCCTGCGGGGAGTGCACTCGGCCTCTTCTCGCTGGGCCACCATCAGTTTCAAGTCCTCATAGCTTATGTTGTCGTAGACGTGGTCTATGTCGTCAATGGTCAGCTCGATGGAAGAGCCGTCCTGCCCAGCGGTGGTGGTGGCGGCGGCGGGGCCGTTCTGCCGGTCCCTCCGGGCGCTGTACTGAGAGCCATCGCTGTCCCTGACTCTTATTTCAGGGGGGCACGTGTTGCTCTCGCCCGCACTGCTGGCCCTCCGCACCACCCTGTGGCCCGAGCCGGGGGGCTCAGGGGGCTGAATCTGCCCCATATGCCAGCTGCACGGGCGGCTAGAAGCGCTGTCATCGCTCAGCCTGGTGGAGTTCAAGTCTGAAGAGGAAAACGAGGGCACGAACATCTGGTAGTCGTCGTCGTCGTCCTCCTGTGGGGACCGCCGGCTGGGGAACAAGGCTTGCCGGATCTGGTGGTCGGTCCAGATGTTCCTCATGGCAGCCCCCGCGCCCAGCACGCTCAGGAGGGTGGAGCTGCTGGGCTGGCTGTTCCTCTGGGCGGGAGGGGCCCCTGCTGAGCTCAGTCGGGGAGCCCTGTCCTCTCTGGATGCCTGAGGAGGGCAGAAAACAGTGACAAGGACATGGAGAAGTTGCCAAGCCAGAGAGCTCCCCCTGCATTTCTACCACCTCCCCCTGCATTTCTACCGCCTCCCCGCTACAAGGTGAGATTCTTGGAGAAAATGAGGAAGCGGGGCAGGGAAGCAGTCAGTCACTCATACTCATTGAAAAACTAAGCCCCGACATTAAGATCATTTAAAAATAATAACTAAAAACTAAGCTAGGTCATTTTTGGTTACTCTCAAGATGTAGTGCTGACAGTCAGTCTATGAAGTAGCTGTCCCTGGCCTGGTTTCCCAGCCAGAAGACCTAGGGGTGTGGGGGAGCCAGTACCTTGCTAGTTCCTGTCAGTGGTCAGACCAAGTCTTTCCAGCTTGGACTCCACAACTGATGCCCCACGGCAGGTCATCAGCTAAGCTTAGACACATCAGATCAGCCTGATGTACATGCCACAAATACTCGTTATATAAATAAACATATGCAGCGTCTGAACAAAACATCTGCCTTGGGAGAGGAACAGCCACTTCCTTAGTAGCAAAGACGGGGAGACGTTTTGTGTACTGTGGTCATGGTATCAGGAGAGACCAGTTCTTGGAAAAAGATCTGCTGGGTAAAGTAGAGGGTCAGCAAAAAAGAGGAAGGCGTTCTACGAGATGGAGTGACGCAGTGGCTGCAGCAGTGCATTCAAACAATTGTGAGGATGGTGCAGGACTGGGCGCCAGTTGAGTTAGTTAATTGTGCCAGCCTGGCCGATAATCACATGTGGGGCTAATTGAAAGGTGGAGGGATAAATGGGTGGTGAGCCTTGCCTTTCTAGTTCTCGGGTCTCTTGTTTTGTGATGGTTGCACCGGGTGCAGCTACCTTAGCAGTTCCCTGCTTCAGCTTGCAAGATGGACTTCCTACAAGACATCCCCAAGGAGAAGCTACATGGACCTATCCCGATGCAGCCCTGGGTGCTGGAGCAGCCGTGTGGAGACCCCTGCTAGTGCTGAGAGGCTTGTTCGTTCACTGACTCAGCTTTCCTCCTGCAGTCGGCATCATTGCCTCTGTTTTGTGAGGTGGAGGACTTTGTGGACTGGTGTTGGGTTAATGGGTTAATGTTGGACTTGTGGGCTTGGGCAGCATTGAGTTGGGATGTTTTTGTGATGCATATTTTCTTTACATAAAACTCTCTCTTATACATGAGTTGCTGTGGATTTGTTTCTCCAAAGTACCCAGACTAATACACCGGTGTTTCATTCTGTTGCACACACAGTCACGATGAGTCAGAACGGACTCAACAACGCCTAATACCATGTGGTGCTTATGGCCATGATGTTTGGCTTCAAGGAGGGACTTTCGTAGATCCCATGCTTGACTAAGATTCTGACCGTGGCTTCCAGTGCCCCCAAAGTCCTTGTCAGTGACCCGACTGTGCACCTGCAGGGTGTCCCTAAGCCTTCAGATCTACTGTGACCCTGGCCACCGTTCCCTCGGCTTATAGACCTTGGCAAAGAGCCTTTTGTTCCAGGGCTGTAATTTAATCCACCGATGAAAGTTTAACTTTCCTTCAAAATACATTTAATGAAGCAATATTTAGTTGCTAGTCAGAAGGTAAAATATGAGTGGCATTAACTACTTCTCATCAAAGAAAACAATGAGGTCATTTAGAACTTGGATCCATCCCTGGAGAGGTTGCACTGTGCAGACAGGGATTGGATTATCCCCTCACTGTTCAGTAGTATAGAGGTTAGCTTCAAAGAGTTGCAAGGGTTAAACCTGTTCAAACTAATGAGGCCTGGGCATAGTTTCTGATCCACATACCACAGTTAGCTACTGGGACTGTCAACCTAGCAAGGACCTTTCATCAGCTGTCAATGAAGCTGGTATACACCGGTCTTGGAGTTTCTGTATTTCCCTTTTATCCATCGCTAGCTACTATTATTTCAGAATACATCTATGTTGGATCCTGTTTGGAGTTTATTACCAGAAAGGTAAGAGAACTATCATGTTATTGTCCAGCAAAGCATCCTTTGATAAATTCTTTACTTGTTAGTGGATCTATAGATGCAGCACATGACTGGAGAAATGGAATTTCAGGACTACGGAAAAAGCCCTTAAAACGCAACATCTGCCATCAAGTCAAGCCCAACTCACAGTGACCCTAGGGTCCTGACAGGACAGAGTAGAACACTGTCTGTGGGCTTCTGAGACTGTTAACTCCTTAGGAAGCAAAAGGCCTCTTCTTTCTCCCTTGGAGAAGCAGGTGGGTTTGAACTGCTGACTTTTCAGTTATCCCAACCTGTAACCCATTACTTCACCGGGGGACATTCTTCTTGGCTGCCTTCAGGTTTGGTAAGGCTTAGTTAGTCCCTGTACTTGGGTTGGATCTCTATCAGAGACCGTTTCTGAAAAGTGCCTGGAATTGTAACTAACTCGAGCACCCTCTGATGGAGTGGGTGCCCCGGCCTTCCTGGGCTCAGCCTGGCTCCCTGAAAGACCAGGGCACCTTCTGCAGTGATCTTACTTGTCAAAACAAAGGAGATTACAAAACAAAACAAAAAAATCCAGATCTTGTGCTGTGTTTTTTCAGGATGAGTCAATTACTGTCAAATAGGTTGCAAAAACTACCAAATAAAAAAATGTATTACCTAATGGAACCATGGAATGTTATAATATCTGTAAGAGCTCAAAATGATTAATTAAAAACAAACAACAATGTATTTCTTGGAATAAAAAATCCATACATCCAAGGGGTCATGAGGGAGGGGTGAGTGGGGATAATGAGCTGATGCCAGGGGCTTATGTGGAGAGCAAATGTTTTGAGAATGATGAGGGTAAGGAATGTACAAATGTGCTTTATACAATTGATGTATGTATGGATTGTGATAAGAGTGGTATAAGCCCCCAATAAAATGGTTAAAAAAGAAATCCACACACCCACTGCCATGAAAATCACTTTTAAAAAACCACTTAAAGTCAAGACCATGCTTCTGCTGAATTTTAGACATTTTACAGGTTTTAATGTTACTATAAAGATTTTAACAGCAGGGTTACTTTGGCCCTGTCCCAGGGAGCTGTGCAAGTGGGGTGGTGGGGTTAGACTTACAGAACCACCTCCTTAGAGATTCAGAATGAAGAACGGAGTAGCCAGGATTGGCTCCCTAATTCTTGCCAGTTGAGCCAGTGGTTCAGTATGGGCACCGGACAAGCCACTCAGGCCAGAGCCTTCGGTGCTATGAAGCTCCTGTGTTAGTCTCCCAGTGGAGCTGATCCTCTTCATTTTAACACAGTAGTGTCAATGTCTCATGGGCGAATGGGAGGGGAGTGGGGGCAGGAGAGAAAAACTTGATACCGGAAGACTCAGTCTATCACATATCAACTTCCCACCATAGTCCTGGAAAGGACCCTCCTCTCTGGAATGAAAGGCCAGTCCTTGCAAAAGCGAGTGCAACACTTGGGCCTTTCAAGAGCGACGGGGGCGGGTGGGCTCGCGGGAGGCCTGGTGGGTGTCACAGATGACTATACCACAGCCCGAGTTTTACAGTTTTGTGAGCTGAGCCAGTGGGGAGGGAGGAGTCCTGGGCTACGCCTACTGGTAATGGGAGAAGACCATCTACACTTGGAACGGAGGCTGGCTGAGGGAGATGACGGAAAGACCCATCCCAGGCCCAGGAAGCAAACGTTGCAACAGAAGAGATGTAATTGTACTTACCTTCTGGATGTCCTGGGTAGTTTCTGTAAAAATTAAGTTTTGTTTTTAAAATCTGAGAATTAAAGAGGTACCCCACACCTAGATAAACCCAAACTACACCCCTTGCCATCGAGTCGATTCTGACTCCTAGTGAGGCTACAGGACAGGGCAGAAGGGCTCCTGAAGGCTTTGGAGACTGCAAATCCTGAGGGGAGCAGACAGCCTCCTCTTCCTCCAATGGAATAGCACGTAGGCTTGAACTGTACACCTTGTGGTGAGCAGCCCGATGACTAACCCCTGGCACCACTAGGGATTTAGTATTTTATAGGAATTTTTCAACTATTGCCAATAACCAAAAGCCAATGGCCTAATGTACCTGAAGGAATTTTCGGTGTAGCAATTCTCTATTCTAGTTAGATCCCCTGCATTGCCCAAACCAAGGTCACTGCCATCGAGTTGATTCGAATTCATAGTGAACCATCGAGTTGATTCGAACTCATAGGACAGGGGAGAACTGGCCCTGTAGGTTGCCGAGACCCTAATTCTTTATGGAAGTAGAAAGCCTTGTCTTTGGGAGTGGCTAGTGGTTTTGAACTGCTGACCTGTGGTTAGCAATCCAGCGGCATAGTTCCGATGCCACTAGGACTCCTTCCTGCTTTGTCAAACCATACAGATTCCTTCATGATGTCAAACCACCTGACATCTGTCTGAAGGTTGAGTATCTTTTTCTTTTTTTTCTTTTAGTGTCTTCTTAATCCCCAAAGTTCTGATTATGGGCATCTTATCTTTAAACACTGGTTAGTTACAGAAGCATACAAAGTAAAAAATGAACAAACCCACCCCAAATCCCAGCCCCTGAGGTAACCCAAGTCTCTGTGTGCTGCCAGTGGTTAACGTGCTCAGCTGCTGACTGAGAGGGTGGAAGTTCCAGTCCACCCAGAGGTGCCTCGGAAGAAAGTCCTGGTGATCTACCTCTGAGAAAACCAGCCCTGGACCACTCTGTGGGGCAGCACTATTCTCCTTTGAGACCTGTGGGGTCGCCATGAGTCAGGGTGGACTCGATGGCCACTGTTTTCAGAGGGCACCACAGTTCAGGGCTCAGTGCTCACCTTTCCGGGTTCCCATGGCCTGCCCAGGACACACACCACAAGGTACAGTGTGCAACACTGCCTTTTCTGCTGACTATGTCGATATTCTCACCAGTAGAGATCTACTTCATTCTTTTAAACGGTTGCAGAAAATTCCATTGCCTGGATCACTATACCTCAATCACTGCCCACCAGAGAGGAATGTTATGTACTCTCTTTTATAAATGCTGCGAAGATCACACAGACAGACAGAGCTCTCTATCCCAATGTGAGTACACAGACAGACAGACAGACAGCTCTCTATTCCAAGGTGAGTACTTCTAAACATCAAAAGCCTCATTCCTGGAGCGATGGGGGGAGGGGGAATGTAAATTTTTCTTTTTTTTGTTTTTATAAATCATTTTATTGGGGGCTCGTCCAACTCATCACAATCCATCCATCCATCCATTGTGTCAAGCACATTTGGGAATGTACAGTTTTCATTGTAACGAGTGCTACAAAAAGGTTGTCAAAAATTCACACCCCTGTATGGATTGTGATAAGAGTTGTACGAGCCCCCAATAAAATGATTAAAAAAATTCATACCCCACGGGGAGTTTCAGGGTGCCTGTTTTTCTCGATTTGGGGGGCAAGCTCTTAGCATTTCTTCCCTCTACTGATCTCATGTAAACGTGGGGCTTTCTGACTGATAACAAGGCTGACATTTTGTTTTTTTTCATTTCTTGGCAATTTGTTGGTGAAGCTGGTAAATGACATTCTCTGACTATTAAGGAAGAGTCACTGGTCACTTCTGCTTGATGTACAGAGTTTCTTGATACCATGAGAACACTAATCTGATGTTATTTGTTACAAGTAGTCTAAGCCATTCAGCTTTACACTGTATACAGAGTCACAGTGACTTATAGAGCTTAATCTTATTCTGAAATCTGTCATTCTTTAATCCAGCTGATGTTTATTTTTTACGTCTGGTTGATTGGTCTTAGTGGATACTGAAGAGTGAGTAAAAGAAAAGGTAGTTTAGCACTTACCACTGGTCTTCAAAACGTTATGGGATCTTGAAGACGGCTCTGGGAGAAATAAAGATAAAGGTGGCATCACTTGGATAATCATCCGTTTACTGGCAAATTAATTGAGCCCCAGAGCCTACATCCCCAATGCTTAGAGACACTCAGCAGTCGGATATTGATTTTGTCAAAATTGTAGAATAAATGTAAAGCCATTATGTAACAGAGAAGCAAATATCCAATTCACCTACCAATGGCTGGTCACTTTCTTAGCTTTTAACTAACACCTATAAGCTACGACATCCACATGTATATTCTCTTTTTTTAAATTTAATCATTTTATTAGGGGCTCATACAACTCTTATCACAATCCATACATACATCAATTGCGTAAAGCGCATTTGTACATTCATTGCCCTCATCATTCTCAAAACATTTCCTCTCCACCTAAGCCCCTGGCAGTAGGTCATTTTTCCCCTCCCGCCCTGCTCCCTCCTCCCTCATGTGCCATTGATAATTTATAAATTGTTATTTTGTCATATCTTGCCCTGTCCGACAGCTCCCTTCACCCACTTTTTGTTTGTCTGTCCCCCAGGGAGGAGGTCACATATAGTTCCTTGTAATTGGTTCCCTCTTTCCTACCCACTCTCCCTCTACCCTCCCAGTAT